CCGAGTCGGTTACCAGGAGAGCAATGGGAACAACACAAGGGCTTGCAACAGGGCAACATACAGGACACAAGTGCAGAGCACACTTGCAGACAGCAGGTTTAAATGTGCTCAACCACACCCTTCTAATGAGGAGCCGCAGAAGCCTGAAGGCATAAAGGTTCCCACCATGCTTTGCAGAAAACCAAGATGGAGGCCAGCTCATGGAGATGCACAAGCTCTGAAGAAAGGTAGGACCTTGACAAAGACATCCTGTAAGGATGTTATTCCACTGCACAGCTTGGTGTCATCTGCAAATACTGAAATGGGATTTAAAATCTCAGACCCTATATCATTTATAAATATATTAAAAAGTAAGGGTCCCAACACTGAACCTTGGGGTACACCACTGATGACCCTAGACCATTCAGAGTATGAATCATTAACCACTACTCTCTGAATACAATCTTTTAGCCAGATTTCTATCCATTTACATATGGTTGTTTCCAAGCCTGTAGACTTTGCCTTACACATTAGCCATGTGTGGGGAACTGTGTCAAACGCTTTTGCAAAATCCAAGTATATCACGTCCACCGCCACCCCTCTGTCCAAAGTTTTGCTCACCCCCTCATAAAAAGAAATCAGATTTGTTTGACAACTTCTGTCTTTCATGAATCCATGCTGTCTGTTGCTTAAAATATTTTTTTCCAGCAAAAACTAATCTATGTGTTTTTTTATTAAACTCTCCAGTATCTTCCCAACTATAGAAGTTAAACTAACCAGTCTATAATTACTTGGTAAAGATTTTGACCCCTTTTTAAATATTGGCACCACATTGTCCTTACGCCAATCCAGTGGTACTATGCCAGTCATTAAAGAGTCCCTAAAAATTAGAAACAATGGATTTGAAATGACAGAGCTCAATTCTTTAAGGACCCGTGGGTGTATGCCGTCTGGTCCAGGTGCTTTATTCACCTTTATACTGTCTAAATATTTTTGGATCATATCAATTGTGAGCCAATGTGGATCTTCTGGAGCTGTGTCAATACCATGCCAATTATGAACAAGAGCTCCGCCATACGCCATTGTATACACAGAGCTGAAGAAGGTATTAAATAAATTTACCTTCTCTTTGTCCCCAGTGACCCACTCTAGATTATTTTGTAAAGGGCCTACATGCTCAGACTCAACCTTTTTACTATTCGTATATTTGAAACATTTTTTGGGGTTGGTCCTGCTATCTTTTGCAATCTGCCGTTTGTGTTCAATTTTTGTGGCCTTTATTTCCTTTTTGCATATTCTGTTATATTCTTTGTAATGTTTAAACGATGATAGTGTTCCTTCATTTTTATATTGAATAAAAGCTCTTTTCTTATTATCTATAGCCTTTTTAACTTTGGCCGTAAGCCACAGGCTTGATTTTTAGCCTTTTAAACTTGTTCATGAGAATATATTTTGCAGTTTGTTCACATACAGTCTTTTTGAAGAACTCCCATTTCTGTGTTGTGTTCATCAATGCCAATATTCCATCCCAGTCTAAGTCTTGGAGAGCAGCTCTCAGCCTTGGAAAATTACCTCTCTTGAAATTGAGCATTTTTATTTTTTCCGTATGTGCTTGCTGTTCACAGCTAACAATAAATGAAATCATGTTATGGTCACTGCTACCCAGATGTTCTTTTATAAGGACATTTGTAATAACCTCTGCATGGTTTGAGATTACCAGGTCCAGCAGAGCATCATTTCTAGTAGGGGCCTCTATGAACTGTACCATAAAATTGTCCTGTAGTAGGTTTAAAATTTTTTGCCCTTTAACTGTTCCTGCAGTACCATTACTCCAGTCAATTTCTGGGTAGTTAAAATCCCCCATTACACTGTTCAACAGGTAAAAAGTTTTGGGCATAAAATTAGCTAATCTTACATAATTTTGGGGTGCTGAAAACGAAAATGACCCTAAAAAATGTTGATTGGCTCTAGTTTCCATGATATATTCACCCATCTAATGACGTAAGCCATTCAAAATTATGATGCAACTTCAGCTGCATATTGCGCAATTGATACTGGTGACCAATAGAAAATTGCATGTATACTGAGATGATGCAATATTAGCCTTTAATTGCATCACTTCACTGCATAAAAGCTGCAGTATCTGTAGCTGATTGTAGTTCGACAGCGTCTTTACATTTAGTTTTATGCTTATATAGGCTACTCAGTAATGCATCGAACTTGTGTGAATAAAGCAGATAATTTCTGCTATATCTGCGGTGAAATGACTTTTATCTCACAAAAAAGGAGGATAACAGGAATGATTAAGAAAGTCTACAACTTGTATTTTGGCTGCAAGATAGGAGACCAGGACAAGAGCTGGGCACCACATATATGCTGCAATTCTTGTGGGACGGCACTGGAGCAATGGTTGAATGGAAAAAAGGCATCTATGCCTTTCGCTGTGCCAATGATTTGGAGAGAGCCAACAGATCATGTTAGTAATTGTTACTTTTGTATGGTGCCTCCAACAAAAGGGCTAAATAAGAAGAAAAAGTTATCTGTGCACTATCCAAATATTCCATCGGCAATACGTCCAGTTCCTCATGGAGAGGGGCTACCAATTCCTAAAGCACCAGAATCCTTCGTGGTTGAGTCAAGTGAGGAAGAACCTGAAGCGTGTAGTCACGTGCAGTTGTAAGAGATAGCCCTTTCCTCGAATACAAGAGAAAAGCCAAGAGAAGCAAAACCGACACAAACTGAAGACAAAACTAGTGAGAATCCTAAGTATTAAAATGATTCAACTTAGCTTATGGCTATAATTTTTCTTGGTAATCCTATGCAATATATTATGCCATTTAGGCTTTGTTATGTAGTCAATATCACTTGCTTTATATTTGTGGAAAGACATCTATCTATATAATTATTGTGCATTATGTAGTCATTACGCCTATAGTAGAAAACTTTCCGTTTACAGAAAAACTAGAGCCAATTGACAAATTTCATTGTTATATTTGAACTCAGAATGTGAAATTCATTAAAAAATGGATCCTTTTGTTTCCAAAACTGGCAAAAAATAAAAATTTGTTGAACAGTGTTATTATCACTGTCCCAGCCCTTTCGATCTGTGCAAGGAGCTGAGTCTCCACCTCTTCATTAGCACTGGGAGGCTTATAACAAACTCCAATGATTACCTTTGTAGTCTGCACCCCCATGTGCAATTCCACCCATAATACTTCGGCCTCATCACACTCTCCATCAATTAGGTCCTCTTTCACACTCACTCTGAGATCACTTCTCACATAGACACAAACACCACCACCTTTCCTATTTACTCTGTCTCTCCGAAAAGAGAACATAGTCAAAAGGTGCTTCAACAAAGTATTAGTTTAAGGGTGTGCACACTTTTAACCATATTATTTTAGTTTTTTATTTTTACTTCCTTCCACCTAAAAGATTTCAGTTTGTTGTTCAACTGAGTTGTATTGTACAGTTTATAGGTTACATTAATGGTGGAAAAAGTTCTGAAATGATTTATCTTTGTCTCATTTTTTTTACATCACAGAAACCTGACATTTTAACAGGGGTGTGTAGACTTTTTATATCCACTGTAGATGTTGGGTATTTGAGAAGAATTGCAGCATAAAAAGCTCTATGACCACTGCTTGCACTAATGAATGAAGATCATTATGCAGTTGCATCTGCCCACCTGTTTTATATCTGTAGGATATTAAATTCCTTGTATACCCAATAAATAGCCCATGGTTGTGCAGCCATTTGGAAAGATCAGTGCTACAAAACATAATCTCCAAAAGTATTTATTATATTTATGTATTTTGTAGGCAAGTAGACACAAACTTCAAACTTACAAAAATAGTGTGTGGCGATTTCTAACTAGTTAACTAGTTATTTGCACAATCTAACATGGTTTAGAATATACGGATGTTTTAGCAAGCAACAGCTAGTTTACATTCAGGAACTGTATGTGAAGAAATAACTGCTGCAGTCTCATTTGTATGCTGTTAAACGGACACTAGACAAGCAGCCATTGGCCTAATAAAGTGTGTGTCTTGCTCAGGGCAACTAATCGCATATTTGTATCATGTTCTAAAGTGCACTAAAAAATGACAGTAAGACATCTTTCTATTGCGAACACATTCTTTACTTCCTGAGTATACATACTGTAAGTAATCCAACATTTTCATTTCCATGTAAAGCAGGAAATGTTTTTTCTCGTATATAAGGTTAACTTGCATAAGTACAGTAGTGTTAAGGTGCCTCAAGATATGCGATAAAGTCACTGAATCTGGAGTAGAGATGGTTTAATAAATGGTTTAAGTAACTAGCCGATATAGATGTCATTGCTTATGCCATTATTATTTAAACCGGCCTTTTTCAACTTGGGTGCCTTCTGGGATGCCTTGGCAAAGCGCCTAAACATTGCCATAAATTGCCCAAAAAATGTCAACAAGTTGGCAAGAGACACAAAGTCACAGTTTTTTGTTGTGCAGCATTACAACCTTGGGTACCATGTGGGCCAACCACTGCCATCCTAACAACCAGTGGCGATATTGGTTAATAAAAAGAACATCGGGCACCTGCACAGCTTACTTGTTTGTCCCTTCCCTGCCCCTCTCCCTCAGCACAGGGGAGAGGTCATGTTAGCAGAGTGAGGGAAAGAAACTGAAGGAGATTAAAATCACTAGAATACTAGTTGGTACCAGTTTGCAAAGGTGGAGGAATAAATTACATCTAACGTTGGGTGGCCTACATGTGTGGATGCTGACATGATATGAAAAACTATTAGTTTAGCTTTTTTAATCTTTAAAAGAGGGTGCCTCAAAATCTTAAAGGATGCTGCAACTGAAAAAAACATTAAGAAAAACCAGGTTACACCATAACAACTGTTCAGCAGATACATTTATTCACCCACCATCTCATGCTGTGGAAACTTAGACATTTACCTGCAATGCAATCAGTGGATATCAACACTAAAGTTCTTTGGATTGCTACATATGATGTTGGTTTCTTTTTCTTCGCAGGAGATGCATTTCCATCCTAAAGCCCTTAAAGATGTAAAGGGACAGATTGGGGCTCCAATGCCAGGGAAGGTGATTGATATCAAGGTAAAAGAGGGGGAAACAATTGAAAAGGGTCAGCCTTTGTGTGTTCTCAGTGCAATGAAGATGGAAACCTTGGTCAACTCTCCAATCTCTGGAACAGTGAAGAAAATCTATATAAAAGCTGATATGCATCTGGAAGGGGAAGATCTTCTACTAGAAATTGAATAATTTGAAAAAGTAAAATGAACAGTCTTACTGGAAATAGGTTAGATGGTCTTAACATTTTTCATGCTTTTTGCTTTCTTCTTTTTTGAGTGAGAGTGTACTTGCTACTAAATGTCAGCTGTTCGATCAATGTGATCATCATTGATGTAATGGGTGTTGTGCTTTATTGAGAAGTTATTGGTTTTGGTAGGGAGCCAATAAGGACCATGAACTTAACTTCTAGTTATAACATCAAAACAATATTTGCTAACCCTTGGTTATAAAAATACATTTACATTTAAATCTCTATTTTACTTTGATTAGACCTTATGCAAATGACTAAATGTTCTATTTAGAGGTCGCTAAACTAAATATGTATAATAGAATTGTAAACCTATACATCTCTCTCTTTAATGATGATTAGTAACTTTGTAACTAAAAATGTGCCATAATTCAGTAGCTGAATAGCACAGAGCTAAATAGCACAAACTCATCTTCATCTCTTCTTGAGATTTAGTGCTGCATCTAGTAAATGTGTGCTCCGTGCAGCTGCTAGCAAGTGTATTTGTGTGCTGTGATTATACAGCAGACTTTTTATACAGTGTAGTGTACATGTCCAGCCTTCTTATTGGTATACCACCTCTACTCTTCATTTCCTATTTAGCCCACTATTTTCTGTATAACTAAAAGCTTTGTTTCTGAAACGTTTCACCCATAAAAAAAAAAAGAAAATACTTTTTTGTTTTTTTTTGATAGTCTGTATAGTGTTTACCAGTTTAACTAAATCGATCCCCTGTGAAGTGACATGAAGCAAAAGCTCACCTTCAGTGTTGCTCAAGTAGAAATCTTGTGGTGTTGTACTTTTCACTTGCACCAATATGAGAACAGATTCCCTTTATTTTTATACTTAATTGAAAATGGAGTATTAGAAGTGTTTGTGGCAAGGTTCTTCTCTGAAAACATTACTTGATTGTATGCAATTTCCTTTCTAAGCTTCTTTTATAGACATATTGATTAACAGAAGCTTAGTTACAGTACTTGATATATATATATATAAATATCCTTTTGCATTTGTTTATGAGCTGCAATTTTGTGTGCAAGCATAGTCTGCTCTATAATGCTGAAAGCACCTTTAGGTTCTGGGACTGTATTCCTTTAAACTCTTTTTAGTACTGTTAGTACATGCACAATATATCAAGGGTACAGTTGGGTGCAATATGGCCTACGTCAAGGTTTTCGTTGCTATTGTCAGTTATGGGATACTTTTTGTTTTTTAATACCAGAATGTAAACTGAACATTTTATCAGCACTAAAGAAATACCAACTATTAACACTTGAAACTCTGATGAATTATATACAGATATATATATATATATATATATATATATATATATATATATATAGTTTTATTTATCTACAATAAGCAAAAATAACAGTAAAAAGTAAAGAGCAGTCTAATCAGAGCAGTCACTATAATTAAAGATGGTTTCTGATTGGCTGCTATGGATTACTGTACTTTGCTTCAATAAATTAGCTTAAATAGCTGAATAATGTTTTAATTGGGTTATAAAAAAGTTACATGGTCACAAAAGGTTTTTCCCTTCATTGCCAAAAGGGTTACATCACTCCTTACTCTGCACATGAATTAGTAGTTATGCGCAGAAAGCTATTCCTATCCTCTTTGAGTGTTGCAGTATGCTAGTATTAAGATGGCTGCTGTCATGTTAACACAATTATAGAGTCCTACGAGAGCCATAACATCTGTAGAGCAATTTGGAGGCCGCATATCAGACTCAAGGGTTACAATATCTATGAAGTCACATTTTCAAGACCCTATTACTCAGTTTGTCTTTGTAAAATGACAAAATTTAAAACGACAAATGTAATAAACCTGAGCATGGATTTCTGCATACTTCTACTGAAAAAGAAAGGATATTAATTAACATGTCCTGATTTTGCTACCTCACAGCAATGTATGTACTAATTTATTTAGGGCTGCAGCTGTGCATTGTGGGTGCATTCTAGGCGTATAAAGATTGTCAGCTGGCTATCTGGGCTGCCCCAAGTCCCGCGAGTCTTTAAGCACTGCCTATTTTAGTATTTCTACTACCTAACCCTTTTCACCTCATTAACTATTTATATAGGCTGTTAGCAGCTATGAAAAGCTCTTTGCAAGCCTTTCAATCAGTATGGTCTTTTCACTTTCACTTGACAACACAATAGGCTTAATTCACAAAGCTAGCACTAGCAGGGAGAGAGATACTAGTTTTTAAAAAAAGTGAGGTTTTTTCAGTTGAGCCAAATAAGATTTGAAGATTACAGTCATATGGCTAAAATAAAGAGAATTATTCTTGTGTTAAAGCTTTGTGAGTTGAGCCAGATGTGCTGTGGACAACACTGTTCATGTCCAACACCTGTCACCACCTTAAGCCATCACTAACTAGAGTGTACAAAGTCTGTGTACGAGAGCACACTTGGTGGTATACTAGGCGCAACGTTGACCAATACAATGATTTTACTCATGTTGCTATTTTTTCCTATAGTTTAATATGTTTTAAAATCAACGAAGCCAAGTATCTGTATCACTTGAATTGTTTACACATTTTATTGTCAATTGATATAATGATTTTATGGACCTGGATGTGCGAATCATTGCTAATTCAATTTAAGGTGTATCTGATAAATTCACAAATAGACATTTATGAACAGCCTCTGGGTACTACATAGCACAACACTCTGTAAAATGGTCTGACCTTTTATTAATGTTCGTGGTACAGTGAACTGTGTTTGAACTCAGCAGGCTACAAATGTGTTTGATGCAAAACTACTGCTGGGAAAATATTACAATTCTTTGACCGCAATAGTTTCTCTGATGCCTGTACATAGACCTCTTAACATAGAAAGGAATTTAGTCATATACTACACGTGAAATATGTTTTCAGGATCTTAGAGAAAAAATATTCCATACATATTTTCCAGAAACCACTCGGCACTTCTTATTCATCTCTTGCTTTTTTTCTTTTTATATAATCACACTACCTATTCCTTTCTTGCACATTTCTTTGTATGTTGGGGCTGCATTTCCTTACTGCGGTGACTTTCAGTGAGTGAAAACCTATACTGAAAAATAAGGGCAAAAGCTACACATTTTTATTGTACATTAATTGACCAGATTTTATACAGTTTGATGTTAGATATGCTACTGTTCTTAAAGCAACATTTTCCACTCTTCCCTTCTTTCCATACATTGTGATTTGACTTTTGCTTGAAGGCAGTGACCATTTTTTTTTTTTTTTTTTTATATATATATAGAAAGATAGAGTCCTTAATATATGTATGAAAAAATAGTTATTTACTTCCCAGTTATTGACTCTATTGTTTGTGTTCAATGAGTTACAAAACTAATCTAGAAGCAACTTTAAGGTGATTTCTTATTATGTTGAGCAACACTGAAACATTGCTGACTGTGGACCATAAACTTTGCCAGGCTCTAAAATGTTGTACCAGTATTTTTTTCCACCTTGTTTACATCTCTAACTGGATAATATAAGTGTATTCCTCTGTAAATGCAGTGTCTTACCTGTATACACTAATTTTGCCTTTAAACATCTTGTCGTTATTATCAAAATGTTATTGTCTGTCAATTAGAAATAAACTTCAATTTGTGCATCTTTTAAGTTTATTGTTTTTATTGCAGTGAAGTTGATGCCTTTTTACAATTGCAGAAATGCTGTGTAATGCAGTTTTTTACTGATATCCTTTCAGAAAAGCTTGTACATTCTCAATCCAAATAGTTTTGCTTGGTATTAACATCAGTGCCCTGCTTTTTTCCTATTTCTTGCTTTATGAGGCGACCCTGCCTAGATCTTACGGGAGCAGCAGAGGTGAACCATGTTCCATCCATCCGTCCATTCATCCATTCACCCTTCATCCATCATCCATCCAGCCAACTCTTCATCCACCACTCTACCATTCATCCACTATTGCAGTAATTGCTGCTATACGACAGACTCTCAATCTAGGTTCACATATATGTGTTTTCCATTGCGTTTTGCATAAATGCCCAGCCATTCATTTAACATGATTTCCCATGCGACAGGTTCACATCTCCACATTTTCACAAGCTGCGTTTTTTGGAAAGGGTAAGGGACTTTTTTAAATGAAAAACTTTGTGTTTTTGGTTCCATAAACTTCAATGGAGATGCTGCAGAAAAGCATGTAGTGCTTTTTGATGCATTTTTTTATGGGTTTTTGATGCGTTTTACATTTTAATCTGCCCAGCAACAATTGGGGTGAAAAAAAACACAAAACGCATCAAATACGCAAAATGTACTGCAAAAAGCACTACAGAAACAGATCAAACACAAACTGCATAGGTTTGAAAATATCCTTAGTGTGTTTATCCATGGACTAATTGTTGTTACACAGTACAGAGGAGCGTTGGTTGGTTTGTGTCATTTTTACACATTTCTTTTTTTTTGTTTCTGTCCAAATAGTACAATGTGCCCCCAGTTTTGTGAAATCATATTCCTGGAAATGGGCAGTGATAGAATTGTAAAACAGAAAGAGGGAGCCTCCATCTGCGTGTATACTGTATAACAATTTGCATGAAAATCTAAATAAATAATGCACTCACATTTCGAGAAGACAATTGAACTTAACAACCACTATGTGGTTGTCTTCGCTAGAGGGACTCAGCAGACAAACAGCAGAAAGAAGAAGCACATAGGTATTGGAAAGAATCATGATGTTCTAGCTTTACTGTGCAGAGCCTGGCAGGCAGCAGTTGGCCTTTGAGCAAGGTTTGGCAGGTAGCGGCTGGTGTGTCTGCAGAATTCTGCAAGCTAGAGTGCTGGGCAGGAACGCTGTGCAAGCTCTCTGGCTGGTGTGGGCCGCAAGCCACCTTCCACAGTTAGGTGTCTTCCTGGAGCCTTCAGCAATCCTCTGGAGAATTTGGTGATGATGGCCTCTTTGTCAAACCAATGGGAAGAAAGGGAGGTCTTAGGGAGGATGGGCCGGAGTAT